ATTATACAGAATCTGCCAAAAAAAATGTATGCACATTTCAGGAAAAGAAAAATAGTGTGATTTTTTTTTTTCAACAGATAGTGTTACCCTTGCATGGGGAGCCCTAGAGGATGTTGGATACTACAGAAAACCCACTATACTGCTGGCCCTTAGAGAAGTAATTGAAAATGCATGTACAGCAATCTCAATGACCAATGTTACCTAAATAGCAGTTCACTAATAAATGTCTGGAAGTTAATGGCCACCACTTTGAGCACCTAATGTAATTGTAGAGGCCACAGGTAACTTGTATTAATCTCATGATGTCTCAATGAGTATCAAAATATTTACACAAATTTTTCTTTTCCTGAAGTGTGTACACACATTCTTTTGGTAGACCATGTATATAAAACATTAGTAATAATGAGATATCTTCTCTTATTCCTATATTTGAATCAAAAATTACACTTTTATGGCCAGGGATATAGCTCAGTGGCACAGAGTCTGCCTGGCAAGCACAAGGTCGTGAATTCAATTTCTGGTGCCAAAAAAAAGAAAACAAAAATTACACTTTTGTTGTTACTGATTATTAATCTGAATATTATAGCAACACAGGATATAAAAAGAAAACCAAATTTAAACAAATAGAAATATAGCATGACACCTTGTTCAAATACGCATGAATCAAAACTTTAAAAAAAAATCAGAAGATTTCTACATGACTAAACCCGGGCTGACCTCATCTATTCACCAACAGATTTACCCTAAAAACAGGAACACTAAATTCATTATTTCCTTTCCTGCTCTGCAAACACAATTAACTATAGCAACATTTGGATTCATCCCGCTCACAGAAAAACTTAAAAACTAATCAATGCTTATAATCAATGTTAGGATAAAAGATTATTTTTACACTTCAAGGAATTTTTCGTTCAATATCATTTTAAGAGAAACATTATTTAAAATGTGTGAAACTGCATCTACGATATAATTCAGGAAAAAAATAGGTTTATATTCTCCAGATTGATAGTGGAGTCTCAAGCAGCAGCAGCAAAAGACACACATCCTCAAGCAGAATGGAGCTTCCCAAAAATGCAGATTTCCTCTCTGTCTTCCTTTTTTCTACCCAGCTTCTTCGGCCTCCCACACCAACTCCTACCAGCAACTCTCCAGGGAGCTTTCAGACCTTCAGTCTCAGACTGATGCTAATCCTTCTTCAGCTTCCAGCTTCTTGAGCTGAGGAGCTTACTCCAACTCTCCACTGTGGGCTATTAGCCACTGTGAACTACATTGTGTCTGATCCCATAAGCCCACCTAATAAATCCTCTTGCACAACTTCATATATGTATGTGTGTGAACTTTTTATCTATATAGCTATATCTATATTTATATATTTACCTATGTATCTATCTATATCCCTTCAATTCTGTGCCACTAGAGAACCCCAGCTAATGCATCAACAATACAATTTTTAGAGTATACACACCCACATGACCATCATCCAGATAAGTAAAACTTTAGTAACATCCTAAAAAGCACTTCTATCTCCTTCAGCCTTAAAAAAACCCACTGTTCTAATAAATATTACTATCTATTAGTTTTACCTGATTGTATACTTTCTGTAGTATATGAGAGCTTCAATTCATTTTGGGCCTCTTTATCAAGAGTATGTCTGTGACATTCACCTGTATTTTGAGTAGCAATAATTCATTTATTTTTAAACCATATTTGACCATACATATATATCACAACTTATTGACCCATTCTTCTGTTGATTAAAATTTCGGATTTTTTCCAGCTGGGAGTTATTATATATAAAGCTACTGCTAACATTTTATACAGCTATTTTGTTGTTGGGTTTATACTTGCAAGCTGAACTGCTAGATCATGTGCTCACTTTGGTAGCACATATACTAGAATTGCTAGATCATAAGGTATGTGTATGTTCAGTTTATAGTCAACAGTGTCAAGGAGTTTCCCAAAGTCGTAATCTCATTTTCTCTCTCATGAGCGTGTACAGCAGTATCAGTTGTTTCATATACCGAAGAGCACTGATATAGCCAGTATTTCCAATTGTAGTCATTCTAGTGGCTGTTTGGTGGTATCTCACTACAGTTTTAATATTCACTTAATGTTAATGTTAAGGACCTTTCTCCATATTTATGAACCACTAGGAAATCTATTTCTAAGGAACCTATCCAAGCCTTTTGTCAGTTCAATTATATGTTTATTTTTAATTTGTAGTAGCTCTTAATATACTCTGAATACAAATCTTTTGTCAAATTAATTCACTCACTTCTGTGACTTCCTTTGTCATCTCCTTAACATCTTTCAATCAGCAGAAGATATCCATTTTAATACAGTATAATTTATCAATATTTTCCTTTATGGTTAGTACTTTTTGGATCTTTACCAAAAAAATCTCTGTCTACATTTCAAAAAGAGTGTTTTTCTGTGCTGCCTAAAATATTTTACATTTGATATTTAGATCCACCATCCATCTGAAATTTAGTGTCAGGTACATACTGATCTTATTCATTGCTTGCAATACTGGCCCAGTACCATTTATTAAATAAGCTATAATTTTTAGTTCCAAATGGCCTAGGAACATATATTGTTCAAGGCATCATTTCTCCAATGAACTGCAATATGACTTTTGATATTTGTTCTAAAACTAAGAGCAATGGACAAACCAGAAACTACGCACTTCACCCTTCCCTTTTGAAGGCTAAGATTTGAATCCCTGGGGATCAAGCATGGTTACCACAGCAGATGGTGACAAAACTTATCAAAGGGCATGGGCTCAAGCTGCTCTACAGGAGTGAGCTTCTGTATTGTACAGAAACATGTGTAAAGTTAGGCATTACCAGGAGCGGGCCCATTGGTGTAGCTCTTCGGGGTCTGTTTCCAGCCTCTCATTAGTCTCTCTCTCACCCCAAACACAGTATCTTAATTTGTAATATATACTGATATCTGGTAGTATAAATCCTCCAGTTTAGCTTTTCTTCTTTAAAGTTGTCTTGCTCTGTAGCCCTCTGAATTTTCATGTAGGTACAGTATTAGAATCAGCTGCTCAAGTTCTACTCCCTCTCCAAAAAAAAACTGACTGGATTTTTATTGGGATTTTAATAAATCTTTAGCTTAATGTGAGAGAAACTGACAACTTTATGATAGTGCCTTTTAGTTTATAAATATGATAAACCTCTCTATTTAAATTTTCCTTTATTTCTATCAACAATATTTTTGTAATTTTTAACATTCATGTCTGTTTTTCATTAGATTTCCCACTTGATTTTTTGGTACTACTTAGGTAGCAATGTTTCTTTAGTTCATCTGCTATTTTTTTTTTCTAAGCATAGAAAAAATGTGGTTTCAAAACTGTAGCCATCAGAAGGATAAACTTGAGTCATTTGTAGGAAAATGTATGCACCTTGAAACTGTAATATAAACTATAATAAGTGAACTAACTCAGACACACAAGTTTACATATCACATAGCTTCTCTTATATGAAAAACATATATGTAGAAGATAATATACATATATAACATATATGTAAAACATAATAGGAAAAAAGAGGAAAAAGTACTGTAATTCAGTGCAGACAATGTATCTAAAAGTATACTCTGATTAGTACAATTAATTGTCTTGCATGTTTTATATGTTCTTTGGCCTATAAGCCTGGTTTTTAATCTATATATGATAATTAACTTTATAAGATATTATAAATAAATGAATCTGCTGAAAAATAATAGGGAGTTCAAAAGAAGGGGGAAAAAGAAATGTGTTATGTACATGTACCAATTCCCTACAGTGTAGGTAGTCATCATGTACTGCAAACATATACTAAAAAGGAAAGAAAAATAAAGAAAATACAAAAGTTGAAAAAAAACTGCAGCCATCAAGTCTCAGTAAGTTAGCTTATAGTTTTTTAGAAATGGGTTCTGCTGGGTGTCTTATATGCATAATGATATCATCTAGAAATGATAGTTTCAATTTTTCCTTGTTGTTCTTTTACCTAAATTAATAAACATGGTGATAGCCAGAATTTTTGTCTCATTTTTAGATTTCAGCGGGAAATCTTTCTGTATTTCACAAGTGAATATTGATAATTCAATATTTCACAACTTATGTTGCTACAGGCTTTTTAGTAGATATTCTTCATCAGATTAAGAAAATTACCTTCTTTTCTTATTCTACTAAGAGCATTTTATCTCGCACTTAAAATTTAAAGTAAATGCTGCACTAGAGCTCCTTATCCAGAACAGTGCACTGTTACGGTTCTTCAATCACAGCAGGTTGTACTTACTCTCACACCACCTTAACAATAACTCAAGTGTATAAGAGATCTACTTCAATATGCACTATCTCTATTCCCACATCACAAGTGCCTCTCCATTATATTACAGGAGATGGTTTCTAATTATGAAATAATCTGCCCAGGTTATTTTCTATGGTATCAATTTTGTTTTTGTTAATGTTCTGGTTTTGTCTGATTTCTCCCTAACTATACTTTTCCTATCAATCTTGTTGATTTTAATCCACAACCTTTAAGAAATGATACATTTCAAGAATGCATATATTTTATAGTAGAAATACCCAACTATGTCACAAAGACGAGTATAGCAGTCAAATCCAACCTCACGGAAGCATATTTTTGGCCTTAATTATAACTAAAGACATTTAGCCATGCTGACAGAAATATAAAAATAAAGTGATTATGCAGATAAGCATGGATAGAAGATTATCTATTTGCAGTAAATCAAAATTAATCATTTGACACAGTATATAACAACATATTCTAATAGCCAACAACTAATCACTTAATTATTTCTACAGATTAAAGCTAAAAAATAAAACACGTCATACCTTGATCTGAACATAGATCAGGAAGGAACTTAAAATAGTATTAAATAAGATGATTATAACTTCAAGTGATTGTATACATTCAGCACAAAATAAAAACCTATTTAATATTGTCACACTGGATTATCATTCACATGCTGTATAGGTCCACACTTACCTTCACATTTTTCAAGAATCTGGACTGTTTCTCCTATTTCTAAGACCAATCCTTGAGGAACAGATCCTCGAAAGCTGCATATCACTAGAAAATCAAGAATAAACACATCAATTAGCATTTTTCAATATTTAGTGTTACAGTCAAAAGCACTAAATTTTCTTCAATACACAAGTATACTCTCTCTGCCTTATTAATGTGTCTCTCTAACATGGAAGCTTCTTTCAACTTCATGTTTTAAAAAGCAGTTCAGGACAATGAAGTACATTATAGCAAAATTACTATTCCTGATTCCTGGGTTGTGTGTGCATGTGTACACAAATGAAAACACTGCTGTAAAAAGACACCCCCACCCCTCAGTACGATTTATGTTTCTGTGACCTTTTTCAGCAAGTATGGACCCCCTACTGAAGAAAAAAATTAATATTTAAAGGATTTTTATAAACATACATTTAAACAAGATTTTCTTAAATAAATCATAACATAAATTTAACTATGGATTGAGAAAAAAAATCTTTAACAGAAATTGATAAAATAGCATATGTAGAGAGAAAAAAATCTATGAATAACCATACAAAGAACAATCTACTGATCATAAAGAACATACATTAACCCCTAAAAACTAAAATTAGTACTTTGAAAACACTGACAGTAACCTAGCACAACTGATTAGGAAAAATACAAAAAAGGTACAACAGAAGCAATCAAAATAGAGGCAGCGAGTTCTCCGGGAGCGGCAGGGCTCCTGGGTCCGAGAGTGGGCCGGACTCATACCACCGCGATTCCCAGCCCCAGCCGAAAAGCGCGCAAAGAGCCAGGTAGGCCCCACCCAATCCCGGAGGCCAGGACGCGAGAACAAAGACCCCGGTGACACTGTAGACTGAGTTTCTAGG